TTGCTCCTTTCTCTGAGTTCCTACTGTACAGCATGATGATCCTGGCACTTAGAGACCATCCAATGTTGTTCACATAAGAGCAATGTCCAGTCCATAGAAGACACTAAGGAAATATTTGTTGATATAGTCAATTGTTAAGAGGATTTGAAACCACATGTAGTCTTAGGCTATGTAGCATAGGAATGGCAAATATTTGGGCCAAATGTTGCCAAAATATCCTCCCATATGCTTGGCAGACATTGCAAATAGAGTTTAGAAAGTACCCACCCTAGATTCTCTGTCAACACTACACTTGGGAAGTCATTACCAATCAATCACAGATGGGATGTTACATGACACTGATTTGTCATCACTGCTTCAGTACAATGTCTTCTTTTTCAGATGGGGTAAATGAAACCCACATGTTGACATGACTTGCTCTATGCAAAAATAGCTTAATGGCAGAGCCAGGACTAACACCCAGCCCTCCTATTTCTCTGTTCTGTGCTCTGTTGACATACTGTTGTTAACTGAAAGAAACGTATTTTATTCAGCTCTTTGTGCAAGATGAAGACACTGTTGATTGCACGAAGAAACACAATGAACTTTTACCTCTTTTTTATTCTTTACTTGTATATTCATTCCCTTGGCAAAATGAACTAGTGGGTAGAACATGGGATTTTAGCTTTATATTTAAAAAAAGTTCTGGGGCTAACTAGTGGTGCTGCAGTAAAATGTTGACCTATATGAGAAGGTCCCTAGCTCATGTTCAGGACTGGCTGAGGCTGTGAGTGGATGGTGGCATCAAGATCCTGTTGGAAGTGGTGTTTCTCTGTCTCCCTCTCCTTCATAATAGAAATAAATTAATATAATAAATTAATAAATTAATAATATGTATTATTAATAAATTAATAAATTTTATATATATATTAAAGTACTGAAATTAGAGCTGCACTCAAATGGTGAGGAGTCCTTCATGATGACAAAGTGCTTAGGGAGATAGAAGAGGCAAGTGCCACATTAGGTGAAAATAAGTATAGCTCATTGCCATGTCCTGGGCTGTGCTTTTCATATATTATTTAACATAACCCTCATAGCCCTGGGAGGTGGTTACAACCATATTATACCCAGTTCCAGGTGAGGAAGAAAGCTGAGCCTCAGGAATTAAGTGACTCATTCAAACTCACAATGCTATAAAGTACCAAGCAGGCATCTGTCCTGTATCTGTGTGACCTCATAGGGCACACTTTTCACCAGTGCAAGAGACAAGGACAATAACGAGATCCCTGGGGAGGTTGTTGGAAAAAGGGAAAGACAGAGAAAAGACTAGGGAGAGGGTGTTTCTGGATAAACAGGTATTTCAGGACTTGGTCCAAGGCCTGCAAGGTAGATCAGTCACTGGAGGTGCCGTGCTCACATGACTGAACTCATCCTAATTCAGAAGCTGATCAGGATCAAGTCTGGTTGGGATTTAAGCAGTCACATCATTCTTTGGTCATGATCCCTCAATTTGCAAGTAAAGAGTGCAGTACCAAAATAGGCAGGTATGATGTCAAAGAATTTGAAAGCAAGAAGTTGACCTGTGATCATCTTGGCTGGTTCTGAATGTACAAGTGAGAAAACTGGCCAGAGAGTGTGAGGCAGGACCAGGGCTAGAACTCAGATTCCCCGTTCTTCCCACATCATCATCCTTCCTCATCCCCAGTGACATAGCAGACCCATTTCATTTTGCTTAGACAAGAGGTGCTGTTCACACTTGGGGTACCACATTGCTGAATAATGACCTTGCATCGTCATTTTTCAAACTATTTTTAAAAACATAAAGGTGTAAATGATCCAGCTTCTTTATAATTTATCAGAGAGTGATTGAAATGATAACTTGAGACTCTCTTTTGGAACTTGTGATTGTTTGGTTTCAGATAGAAGTGTGATGGCGAGTTATTTTTTCCTATTAATTTTATTTTTAGTATAAAAGTAGAACATACTTTTAAAATATGTTTTTAAAGTGGAAGTAAAAATAAGTCATTAAAACAATAAGCCATGGTCTTTCTATCTAAATAAAGCCTGTTGATGTTTCACTTTTAATCTTTTTTAAATGCCTCCATTTGTAGTTCTAGAAAGTTATATTGTATGTGTGTGTGTGTGTGTGTGTGTGTGTGTGTGTGTGTATGTGTGTGTATTACTTCAATTTGGACTTTTCTTTTCAATCTCACTTTATACACATTGTTTCATGTTATTTCACACTATTAAAAACATTAATAATGTTAAATGGTTTAGGCTAGTCTACTGTGATTTATCAGTTTGAATCCCAAAGAAGAAAAAAAAAAAGGTAACAATATCTTCCATTTTTCACCCTTCCAACAAAAACAACCGTAACTTACTCATGGAAAAGTTCACTATTTAACAGAGACTCTGACATGTTCTTTTTTGAGTCAATTATCAGAGCTGAACAATAAAGCAGCATCTCTCCTAGAAGTATCTTTCACTACAAAGATTTAGAAGACTAATTTGTCAAGGCAGAAGAGACAGGGATTTCAGGTCTTCCTAAAAGCACTGAGCTGTACATTCAAGCACCAAGAATGGGGGAGATCCAGGTTTAAAGCAACATAAAGAATTTTTCTAGGAGTGATTTTGGAGGGTAATCTGTGTCAGCTAATTCACATTTAGCCAATAGTGTCGGGGAACGAAGTCGTTACAATCTGACAGACGTTCAGTGGCCTGAATGAACTGAGTTGGTCTCATTATAGCTTCGGAGCGCGGGTGTGCACATCACCAAGTTGGAGGGGGGAAATCCACTGGACAGTTGGCACTAATTAACATCTTTGCTGGCAGGCTCTGCAGAAAGGCCTAGAGTTTAGTGGTTGTAAAAGGGACCGATTTGCTCTGGAACAGGCAGGTGACACACTGATGAGCCTGTGTGAAACCATAACTCTCAAACTAATACCCATCATCTGGGAACTCCTCACCCTGACACATGCCCGGATGGGCAGTCTATGGGTGGGTTATATTTAACTCTTCAAACTCTTTGGAAAATCCAAAAAGGGAACAATTAGCAACTCAACAGTACAATATGTTGCTAGCTGCATTTCCAGTTCAAGCTCTGCCTCTTTCATAACATATCCGAGTCTATACTCAGATCTCTTTCTGTACTCTTTATCTTTACAGTACATTGGGCATTCCATCCAGAAGTGTAATTTCAATTATGTTACAGTCAGGCACTTCCAGAAAAGTACCTGAAATATTGCTCTAGAAGAACTAGCCTCCTTTTAGATTCTAAGATCACCCAAGAGATTCCAAAACCTTTTTGTTCCTGTCTATACCCACAATAAGCCTTAGAGTCCCTCACTAGAGTCTAGCTTATCAGACCTAGTTGTCAGCCTAGTTAGCATTTGAGGCTCTCCTAAAACCCAGCCTAGCACACTCCTTATTCTTCTCCAGTCTCACCTTATCTGCCAACCCATCCTTTCCTGCCCAAACAACCAATTTTTTGCTTTTGTTATACACAGAGCAATTCTTTGCTCTGTTCCCTTTAACAAATGTTCACTTCCATCAGAAACTGATGAACTCACTGACAAAAATGGAAACTTGATAAAAATTAATATATTACCATTTGGGATTTAAAATAAGTTCATGCTTACTGTAAGTTTAAACCAGAAGAAGAGTATACACTGCAAAGTTCCAACTATCTATTTATTTGGTAAACATATGTTTGAGTACTGACTGTGTTCCATACTGGCTGTAAGCTGGGGAAGTGGGATGGTTTCAGGTTAAGAGTGGCCACCTCGGCCCTTTGAAACTGACCCCAATGGAAGGCTCCACACTGAGCAGAATCACCTTCACTATCCCCTCACATCCAGGTCCCGTGAGGGTGTATCCATTTTATGCTGATTCTTTGGAGTCATTGACATTTGATGAATTACCACAGTACAACAGGAGTGCACATCTATGGGTAGGCCCCCACCCACCTACGACTGAGGAAAGATTAAGGCCTTTCATATGAAGTTCATTACACCAGAAAAACACATAGCAACCAAACCCTCTTCAGCTAAACTAAAAAGCCCATTGAAAATTGTTTTGAAGATACTAGGACATGATGGGAACCAGTAGGTGGCATGGTGGTTAAGGTGCTAGACAGATAAAGCACTGGACACTCCCACATGGCTGACCACAGTTTGAGTCCCGGACCTGATGGCTTGCTTTCTCACTTCCCCTCTCTCTGTGTGTCTCTCTCTGGTCAAATTAAAATAAATGGATGAATAAATTAAATTAAATTAATAATTTCTTAAAAACTATACTAGGACATGATTCAGAAGAGATAGTATTTCCTCAGATTTCAAAAATGAACACTAGGATTGCTGTTCAGCTCATCACTGATTAGCACATAAAGTCGTGAGGCTGTAAGTGAGGCAGGATGAGAAAGACAAGCAAAGAAAGGTTGAGCGGGTTATCTGTTCATTAAACTTCAGTTTAAAACAAAAGTGAGGGCCAGGCAGAGGTACAGTGGCAACACCACTGGACCAACATAAGAAAGTTCCTAGGTTTGCGTCCCTGAACCTCCTTGAGCACGTTGTGTGCACAAGTGCCTGTGATCTAGGCCAGCTGAGGCTGAGGGCGGATCACGGCACAAACATTCTGTTGGGGGTACCTGTCTCTCTGTGTGTCTCTCTGGAAGAAATATATAAGAGAAAGATGAGACTAATACAGACTCATTTCAGAGTCTATCAGGTTTACTTAATATAATACACAGAATTGACTATCCTACATTATTCATTAATACTTCCCAAAGATCATATAAACCTTTTCTTTGGCAACATAAATGTACCTTTTAAAATTTGGCAGACATATTTTCATTAATAAAAATGTAAGATTTTAAATACCTAGATGAAAGTTCTTACACACACACACACACACACACACCTACCAGAAAAACCACAGTCAGCACTCAGTGTGTGTGAAGTCTGACTCACGTGTGATGATGACAGAGCTTTTCAGGTGTGACCTACACCTCTGGGCTGGTTTACCTGGATATACTGCCACAGATGATCGCACAAGGCTGAGTGCTGTGCAGGTACTGAACAGCTTTGGATACTCCTATCAATATGCTGATTCGAATATGCCAGGACAGCGGGGCTGTATCACCCTACAAAAACAACAGCAATTAGTATGGCTGCACTTCCTGAGTAAACACCGTCTCTGCATTCATTACACAGGAGTGCACCGGAACAGACACAGCAAAATGGGGTCAAGTGGGTGAGCAACACTTGTTTTCATTACATATTCCCCTCGACTACTGATGATAATTCTAGGCTTCTTTACAGGCAGTGGAAAGATCCAGCAATTTTATTTATTTACTTTTGACAAATCAGAGATATTACCTTGGCTAACCATTTCAATAGGGATTTTACCTTCCTGTAGGTCCAGTAATTTTTCAATGTTAATTTAATCAAGCCATAGCTAGCAAGGTAACATTCTTTAATAAATCATTAAACAATACTTTAAATTACATGTGGTGGGGCCACAGGTGGCGTGGTGGTTAAGGGCACGGGACTCCCACATGGCCAACCACAGTTCAAGTCCCAGATCTGGCGGCTTGCTTTCTCACTTTCCCTCTCTTTCTCTCTCTTTCTCACTCTGTCCCTCTCTGGTAAAATTGAAATAAATAATAAATAAAGTTAAATAAAATAATTCTTTTCATTTTTTTTTTTTGGAGAGGTTTTTTTTTGCTATAGGGCGCGTGCGCTCGCCAGACAAACAGAGAGAGACAGAGAGATAGAAAGCAGGAAATCACCCCCCAGGGGGGATGGCCACGCCGCAATCCCTTCTCCTCCATTCTCCTCTCGGGATCTTGGGCACGCATGCACACGCGCCCGGCGTGAGTTTAAGCCACCGGGTCCGGGACTCGAACCGCGGTCGACTACGTGGGAGGCCAGCGACATAGCCATTACGCCAACTGCTGGTCCCATTCTTTACATTTTTTTGAATAAATTTTATGTGGCTTAATAGCATGGGTTTATTGCTAATAATCTGCTTTTATTCCCATCCTAACTTAAGCAACCTATTTGGAATCTTCATTTTTTTTTTCTTAAAGACAAGGTCTTACTGTGTTGTGATCCTCTTGAGTCTCTTCTGTGTCATGCTCATCCTCCATTTCTCAAGCAGCTGAGACCATGGATGAGTACCACATCATCCAGCTCTCCTTGACAGGATCCTGCTATGCTGCCTCGTGCAGCCTCCAGCTCATTATCCTTCTGCCCTCAGCCTCCTCAAGTACCTGAGGTCACAAGTGCATGCCACGTGCCTGATCTTTAAGTTGAATCAGGAACAGAATTGGGGCCTCTCAGGGTCAGCGGGTGGCATGATAGTTAAGAGTACTAGACTCCCACTTGGCTGACCATGGTTTGAATTCCAGATCTGCAGGCTTGTTTTCCTACTCTCTCTTTATCTCTCTCTCTCTCTGGAAATATTTTAAAACAGTAATAATAAATAAAGGTAAATAAAATAATTCTTTAAAAAAAAAAAAAAAGAAAAAAGAAAGAACTGAGGGTTCTTATGTTTCCAGCCTGCAGAGCACAGCATCACTGGGCTGGGCCTGAAATAAATTTTTAAATTTAGCCTACAAAAATATCTTATTATGGGACCAGCATTTGTTGTAATGGCTATGTCACTGGGCTCCCATATGGTTGACCACGGTTCGAGTTCCAGACCGAGTAGCTTAAACTCAGGCCAGGCGCATGTGTATGCATGCCCAAGATTCTGAGAGGAGAATGGAGGAGAAGGGATTGCGGGGTGGCCATCCGCCCCTTGGGGGGTAATTTCTTGCTTTCTGTCTTTTTGTCTCTCTCTGTCTTTCCGGCAAGCACACACACCATACAGCAAAAAACTCTCAAAAAAAATCTTATGAGAAATGATCATGTTTACTCAACCTCCTTTTCTTTAAGAGGTCTGTATCATTTTTATGTCTATCTTTTGTATTGAAAGATGCTTTGTTTAATACAATGCAAATTTAAATTATCTGAAAAATAAAGGTAATTGATATAAACTTGCCTAAAATATACAATCATTAAGATGCAAGAATCCAGAAACTCTTCTGGTAATCATATTGTGCAAACACAGTAACTTGGGTATTTATGAAGCCTTCTAGGACTAAGAAATCAGTTCACAGAGAAGTTCTCTCCTTCCTTGGGGAACTTATTCTTGGCTATCCCCTCAGTGAAAACACTTTGGCCTCCCAGATCTCACAGGTTTCAGTAGCTCCCCCTGGGCTTCAAATGGTCAGAGGACCAGGCAGAAAAATAGATATGACTTACTACACAGTGTAATCTGTCAAAAAGTGTTCCGTTTCTCATATATGGATAAACCAGACAGAACTTCTCAGTCTCTGTAAAATATGCAGTCAACTCTAGTATGTTTGGATGATGAAACCTTGAAACAAAAGATTTTTAAAGCCATCAAATTGTTTATTCAAGTAGAAAATGAACAACATTCTTTGTTGGTAGTACGATAACCTAGGGAACAGGTCTAAAGCAGAATATAGAGTCATCGGAAAAGTCATGACACATTTTTTTTGCATAGAAAAATAATACTTCATGACTTTTCTGATGACCCAATAACAGCAGCCAAGTAAGAAGAAGGTGGCGCAGTCGTGATGGTACAGGCAATAGGGGCACTATGCATGATTCTAGAGTCCATATGGGAAGACTCTAGTCATCATTCTAAACCTACCTAAACGCAACAGGCATGCTCACAGGGGCTCCCATGATGCTGGCTGACTGCAGAGCTGAGGGGAGCATTGTGGCATGAAGTCCCTGTCGAGCAGGCCTGTTTGTCTCTCTCTCTTTCTCTCTCACTCTCAATAAATTTAAAAAATATTCATCAATGGTATTTTTCACATAAATTCATAAAAACAATCGTAAAACTTACACAGACCCATAAAAAACCCTAGTCAAAGCAATTTTGAGAAAGAATAAGACTGGAGCCATTCTCTTGCTGTTTTCAAACTACTATATGACAAAGGTATAGTAACAAAAACAGTATGATGGTGGCATAAAAACAGATACACAGACCTATGAAATATAATGAAAAGACCAGAAATAAACTTATAAGATAAGGTCAACTAACCTTTGACAAGGGTGCAAAGGATACATAAAAGGGAAAGAAAAGTCTCTTTAATAAATGGTGTTGGGCGCCGGGCGCGTGTGCGTGCGTGACCAAGATCCTGAGAGGAGAATGGAGGAGAAGGGATTGCGGCGTGACCATCCCCCCTGGGGGGTGATTTCTTGCTTTCTGTCTCTGTGTCTCTCTCTGTCTGTCTGGCGAGCGCATGCACCCTATAGTGGGAAAAAAAAAAAAACCCTCTAAAAATAAATGGGGTTGGGAAAACTGGATATCCACATATAAAAGAATGAAATTAGAGCCTTGTCTCATGCCATACACAAAAACCAATGCAAAATTATTAAAAACATAATTTTAAGATCTGAAACTGTAAAACTCCTAGAAGGAAACATACATTGGTCTTGGCAATTATTTTCTTTAATGTATAATTTTTTTTGTTAATGAAATATTTTTTACAAGAATGAGGAAAGACATTAATGAGAAAAATAGAGAGGCAAGACATTTAGGGGACCAAGAAATGCATTAACAACAGTTGAAGATAACGTGTACAGTATTCTCAACTGGACTGGTGAGAAATGTATACATGATGGAATATTCACTTTGCAAGCTAAGTGACATCTGTGATTTAATGCATAAAAGAAATTGAAATATATATATATATATATGTGCATATATATGTGTGTGTGTGTGTGTGTAAAGCACCTAAAAATAAAATAAAAATAAAAAGACTATACTGAGAAATTATTTCCACTTATTAGGTTAAAGAAAATCAAAAGGTAAGAATAACTAGGTTGATAAGAATTTGGAAAACCAAGCACTCATGTATGTTTGGTCTACGTATCTATTGGTATAATCTCCTGGGAAAAAATGTAGTACTATGTATGGACACACTCATTATCCTATAATTTTATTGATGGGAATTTACCTTACATACATACTCAAACAGGTATGAAACAACATACGTACAAGCTTTCCTTGTTACAGTATTAATTTTGAATAATAAAACATTAGAAAAAAATTTTAAATCCATGAATAACAGAATAGTTAAGTAAGTTGCAGTCTTGGCATTTAATAGAAAATGAAATGAACCAAGTGAACAATGTATTTGTTATATTTCTTGTATAAAAGGAGGAAAATTAAAAAAGGCCATGCTTGCCTATGCATAAACTATTTCTGGAAATATGTACAAGAAGCTGCTATCACTACTGCCTTAGAAAAATCACCTGGGTGGATGGATGATAATCACGGGAGAAAAATCTTTTCTTGGTTTACCCTTTCGCACTTTTGAAATTTCTGTATGTCCTAATCTTATTTTTATAAGTAAATAAAACCTAAAGATAAAACCCTTCTACTATTACTATTTTGGGTTTTATATTTTATTTTATTTTTTATTTATTTCTTCCATGAGAAAAGGAGACACACAGAAAGAGAGAGAGAGAGGGAGAGAGAGAGGCAACCCCAGTAGGATCATCATGCCACAATTCTACCCCTGCCTCGGCCAGCTCAGACCATAGGCATTCACACTGGGAGTCCTCGGGACAGGATGCCCAGACCTTTTCATGTGGTTTCAGTATCGTGGAACCTTGCATTACCACTGTGCCACTGTGGCTAGCCTGGATTTCGTTTTTTTTTTTTTTTTAAATTGGCTAAATGTATATATATATATATATATTTAGCGCTTTTTTTTTTTAGAGGCTTTTGCTATAGGGTGTGCATGTTCGCCAGATAGACAGAGAGAGACAGAGAGACAGAAAGCGAGAAATCACCCCCCAGGGGGGATGACCATGCCACGATCCCTTCTCCTCCATTCTCCTCTCAGGATCTTGGGCACCCACACACACACGCCTGGGGTGAGTTTAAGCGACATAACCATTGCGCCAACTATCGGTCCCCCTAAATGTATATATTATTAGCCTCCAATATCTTTATATCTGGTCCTGGGTATAAAAGAAAAGGGATTTAGTATAATTCTCTCTTCACCTTCCTCCCCTCCCCCCTACTTCATCTATTAGTTCAGAAAACATCTGAAAAGAACATTTTGTGTTTGGAAAGGGTGATGAGTTAACTCCATAGGGTTAGGGGCTTCAGTGAGGAAGGATACACAGCTGCAGATATGAATGTATATGGAAATGAGGTCATTTTAATTTGTCTCCAAGGACTCTCAGACTCATGAATGAATTCCCAGAAGAAAATATGCACATCAAAAGCCTTTGATTTCTTTGTCTAAAATTCTTCCTGAAGAGAACTAAACTGAGGAAACATTTTCTAGACTTAGGATGTCTCTAAGGAAGGAGAGAAATGATAAAACATATAATTCTAATGTTCTAAGAATTATTCAGCTATGTTAGTCACACATGATTTAACCTACTTCCTTGTGACAGTTTCTTGTTAAAATATGTTCAAGTGAATTATGTAAATGGTCTATTTTAAAATGTACTTTAAGGAATATACTAAAGCAGATGTCAAAAATTTACCCTCTATCTAACATCTGACCTACATTTATTAAATGCCAACCATGCCAAGCATTGTGTTGTAAAATCAAAGACGAACAGAGAGAAAACCCAGGCATGAAGAAGGGGAATTACCAGACAAAATATACTCACAGCAGTAAAATTTCAAGCTCAGATAAAAACCTCTTCCACTGTTGCTTACATTGTATTTTTTCCTCCTAAATATCACACAGAAAGACAAGGAAAAAAATAAGTAATGAATCTCTATTCCTGGGATTCATGACCCAGGAGTTAAAGTCCCTCACAATTAAACTTTTGACATAAATGCATATGACCATGTTTCTGCACATAGAATCCTTAGCTTTCATAAAATTTTCAAAAATTGACTAGCCCCAATATGGATTTAGAACCGATGCCCTTGAACTACACATTTCTCATACAATATATCATGTGGCCAAACTTTGTATTCAAATTCTTCACAATATTTTACACTCATTTACGAAATTCAAAAATATTATGTGTCTTAAAAAAAAAAAAAAGTCCAGTCGCAGTTAGAAACTCCCCACGTGATCTCACCAAGGAACCCCACTTGGCGTTACCTGTATTCTGCTTCAAAATCTCACCAATTGGGTATTTGTGACTTGGGCCATTTGGAATGTTGGTTTAAGTATATATTTGCATTAATTTTGAAAAGCTGGGCTTTTAGTACGCAAATGAAAATATAACTCCTTAATTCAAAGAAGCTTATGGAGCTAACCCAGTGCCTTACACATGGAGGTTGACCACAGTAATGAGTTCAATAATTGTACTGGGCACAAACACGGTACCTGGCCCTGGTTTTAGTGCTTTCAGACATTTTACGTCATTGCTTGCCTCTGGGTTTTAGGTACCTAACTTCTACCACAAAGGAGTTAAATTATGTGTGCTCCTAAATCCCATTAGTTGTACAATTCTCTCATTTCCAATTGCTAGACAGGGCAGAGTTTTTATAATTTTGTCCTCAGGAACAAAGAGAGAAAACTCCAACAGGAATTTTAGAAGCTATTTTCCAAGTTAAGTCAGGAAGTCAAAAATAGTAAACCAGGTTAACAAAGCATTTGCAAGAACCACACTATCAGAATTACATTTTTACAAACTCCTTGTCCTGGGAACCAGGCAGATTGAGTCTCAAAAGTCCATTTCTAATTCACTATTTCTAATATTTTGCCAGTCACTTCATCTGCCTCAGGTCACAGTTTTCTTCATTTAAAAACAAAACAAAACAAGACACAAAAAAATGGGGGTAGGGGATAAATTTTAGTGTTTACGCTAACCTAGCACTCTAATATCTTGTTGCTTAAAGTGTGGTCTAGGTGCAAAAAACTTCCGTTTCATTGGGAGTTGGTGAGAAACGCTGAATCTCGGGCTCCTGCCTGACTGGATCTGTTGAATCAGAATCCTCATGGTAAGATGAGGTCTGGTGATTGGGCTGCACATTGACGTTCAGGAAGCAAGGATCGAACACTTCAAGTATGATTTGCCAACCCCGCTCCCCTAAGAAAAGCCATTCAGGGTAATAACCCAACGTTAAAAAACTGCACGTCTTTAAAAAACACTCTATAGTTAAGGCTTCTTCAGATGAGCTCGGGTTTTTCTGATGTGTGTGTCTCTGTGTGTGCGTCTCTGTGTGTTGGGTAGAGAAGTGGGTGAAGATGAAAGCAGAGGGCAAATGTCCAACCATACTTCCACTCACTCCCTGAAGAGGGAATAAAAGTGTGGGGACAGTTGGACTTTCTACAACTCTTTGTGGTCTCTAGATCTTTAACTCTTATTCATTAGCAATTAAATTATTGAAAAGGGCATATATGTCTCATTTCATTCAACCAATAAACATTTTTTGAGCAACTACTATACTATAGCCTACATCCTGTAATAAGGCACTGGGATAAAAAAGATAAATAAGAGCTCTTCAAAGAATGCTACCTAGTCCATGGAAAAAGATGGACCAAAAAAGTCAGTATTACAAGATAATAAAATGAGAGATGCTGTGGCTATGTAGGGTCACCAAAACCATGCTGAAAAGGTCAGAGACAATAAAAGAAATATTTATCTCTGGGACAGGAATGGGAAGGGATCTAAAGGTAATGTCACTCCATTCTAAAGGCAGACTTTTTGAAATAAAATGCCCCCAAAGGAAGTGTGATTTGTTGCAGTTGCAGAGGTAAGAGGAAAATAGACTGCAGGAACCCTTTGGGGATGGAGCCCTGGGACTCAGCTACAAGAGAGTGTAAAGATGAGGCCAGGGACACATTGGCACTAAGAAGAGGCTTGGTTAGGCCATCCCTAGAGCAACCACATTCTATCTGTTGAATGGTTTGATCAGTAGATTCTTTCTTTATTAGACAAATCATCATCTCAGGAATCTTGAGGTGACTGCATAGAATCAGTGGGCAAAGTGCAATTTGGGGAAATGGAGAAATCAGGTTAACATATATATATATTTTTTTTTTTTTTGGAGAGGTTTTTGCTATCGGGCGCATGCGTTCACCAGAAAGAAAGAGAGAGACAGAGAGACAGAAAGTGAGAAATCACTCCCCAGAGGGGATGGCCATGCCACAATCCCTTCTCCTCCGTTCTCCTCTTGGGATCTTGGGCACGCACGCACACACGCCCATTGTGAGTTTTAAGCCACCGGGTCTGGGACTAGAACCGCGATCGACTACCTGGGAGTCCAGCGACATAGCCATTACACTAACTGCTGGTCCCAAGGTTAATATATTTTTAAGGTCCTGAAATCTAAATTGTTTACTAGGAATCTCCTTAGACTACTCTTTTCCTTTCCCAGTCCTATGCAAATCACTAGATTTGCTTTATTTCACCTCATCTCTCTGACGTCCTTTCTCTTAACAACCTCATTGACTTTGGTTTGCAGCAGTGGCTCCTAATACTGGCTACACATTCCAACCACCTCGGGACCTTTGAAAACATTCTGATTCCTGCCACCACCACTCCACCACCACCACTATTCTGACTTAGTTACTATGGAGCTAGTTTTTTAAAAGTTCCCCTGGAATTCTAACATGCAGTTAGTGTTGGTTTAAACCTGCCTATGTTTTAGTTCATGTATCTGAAATATCTTCTTCCAAGCCTTTCTGCTTTCAGTCTAGTTCTTGCCATCTTTTTCCCAACTTCCCTGTCAACTTTTAATCATCCAGCCTGTAATCAAAGTTCCATTTTAAAAATACAAAGCTAAGCCATCACTCTTCTACTTCGAAATCATCCATAGACTTAACCAATCTTTATAGTACCATTTTTGACACAACTTCCCCCTCAGACCCCACTAATGAGCAGTTATTCGTAAGACCCCCGCTTTCCTAAGCGCACCTCCAATCCTTTGCATCCACTCTCTGCTCCACCCAGAATATCATGCTCCTTCACTGCCTGCCAAGATTCTACTTATCCTTCAAACTCCAGCTGAAAGGTCACCTCCTTTTATTCACTCTTCCATTTGTTTCCCATGAAATATTTATTGGATGATCGGCCTGTGCCAGAGACTTTTCTGAATGTTGCATACACACTCTCTTCTGGGTGGAAATAGTTGCTGTCTTTTATGTACTTCCATGACCTTTTGTGCAAATCTCTGTTAAAGTACTTCTCTCATGGCAGTTTAATCATTTTTTTTAACCTGGCTGTTTCCTCTGAAAGACTATGAACTCTGTGAGGGCAGAACTATGCTTTATTAATGAGATGCCAAGCTTACTGAAAAAGTTTAGTAAATGTTTATTAACTGTTAACTAACAATGAAGAAAATAAAGAGCTGCTTTTGTGTGTGTGTGAATAGGTAGCTATCTCTTATTGATTCTTTTTATTTTTTAAGTTTTCTGGGGATTTTTTTTGTAGTTTTTTTGTTTTTATTTTTGTCTTTGTGGTTTTTTTTTTTTCTTTTAGTTTTTGCTATACGATACAGTGCACTTGGCACAAAGAGAAAGATAGAGAGGGAAAGTGAGAAATCACCCTCTGATGGGGATGGCTATGCTGCAATCCCTTCTCCTTCATTCTCCTCTCAGGATTTTGAGCATGCATGCACATGCACCTGGTGTGCTTTTCCAGCGACCCAGTCTGGGACTCAAACCACACACTCGACCATATGGGACCCAGCTGCCTTAACCTCTATGCCACCTGGTTGGCCTATTGATTATTGAATATGATGCCCTACTTTCCTCTTTACTTTATTGGCTGCAGTCATTCTTTAAAAAGCAGTCTGTGGTTAAGGCTTCATCAGATGAGCTTAGGTTTTTTTCAATGTGTAAGTCTCTGTGTATGTTGTTAAAGGGGTGAAGATGAAAACAGAAGATAATGTCCAACCATACTTCCACTCATCCCCTGAAGAAGGGATTAAACCTCTATCCTCCTCCTCTGACGGTTGCTCCTACTTCAGGCCTCCTTTTTCTCACCCTCCTAACTGTAATAAAAGACAATTTATAAAGTAGCAGCAAATGCCAACCTGTGGCTTAGCTGGTGCAGCTGCCTGAAGAAGACAATGCTTATCCTAAAGAGCCGTGGACACCGGAGCAGGCCAGTACAACCTGACTCTCCTACGCAGTCCCAGAGGGTCCTACAGGGCTTTTCAGAAAAGCCTTTCTCATGTAATACATCTGGGATGGGAAGAATTTAACTCTGACATTCCTGTAAGACAGGCATTCATTTTTCAGTCATTTCTCCAATCACCTGAGGTCATATATCTTATTTCCATTTATGAAATTTTATTATTAAATACACCTCTTTACAATGTCGATGAGAATGACACATTTTAATACAAAATATGAGCAAATAAATGGATTTGATATACTGTGATAATAATTCTTTCCATACCTGTTTAAATAATTTAATGGCATATGTTCGGTTTTGAAACTCTACTCTGTATACCTCAAAAATCTCTCCTTCTCCAATTAGGAAATCTTTGTGGAAATATCTAGTTCCATCTATGATGTTCTGAAAGCTGATGGAGGATTTAGGCCATATTCCTTAGGAAGGAAAGTAGGGAGAAGATAAGGTTACCTTTTCTCTTTTTAAGAATCAATGTTCCCATTATAACCAGCACTTCTATATTAGAAACACATCAGAGTCCGGTGAGGGGGTCAGCAGAGAAGGGCCCAGAATCAAAATTCACACGGCATTTCTGTGCATTTCCCTGGGTCTAGATCCCACCATCCCACAGAGCAAATGGCTTTTTAGATATATGAATGGTAGCACTGTGATTTTATCATCTGTCCAAAAGATTAGCAAAGAGCTTAGCTGGGGAAGCTTTTCCAAGATTCTGTTTTCTTGTAAAGTCAACAAATTGTTGCTGATCCATCATGAACCTAAAACTACTAAAAAACGATGAAAGTGGAAATCTTGATATTACTGAGCAATATTCTCCAAGCATGACTGATAGAAACACTTTCCATGAGCCAAATCCTTGAAATGCCCAATTTACTTCCTTGGAGTAAATTAGAAAGATGCTTCAGCTTTAAAAGAAAACAAAAATCATCCAGGCCTTGTGGGACAGTGGTTAAAAGCAGCGCATGTGGAGCCACATCCCACATGGCCAACTGTGGTTTGAATCCTGAACCCCTATGGCTTGAAAAACACGCTGAGTGCAAGTGCATGCATGCCTAAAATCTTGACAGGAATGGAGAAGTGGAGGAGGAAAAGACTGCGGCATGACCACGCTTCCTTGGGAGGTGCTTTCTCCCTCTCTCTCGCTCTTTGGCATGTGCATACACTCTCTGGCAATGACATGGGGATAAAAAGCATCCAAAGTGGAGACTGGGAAGAAGGAAATATTTAATAGTTAATCAAATACAAATTTAAAAGGAAAAACTTGGCTAAGCCTTCCATAGCCCAATTTTGGCTGCATTCCCACAGCTAATACAAAATGCTCTTTAAAAGCATTTAATGTTTGAGTTAGAACTTATTACTAAAGAACCAAAACCTCTTTTTCTCTTTCCTCTTTTTATTTTATGTTATTATTATTACTTTTTTTATTGCCAGAGGGCATGTAAGCTTCCCAGAGAGAGAAAGAGAGAGAAAGCTTTCCACAGTGGGTTCTGGTCATGCCACAGTCCCTTTTCCTCCTTTCCTCCATCTTGTCAAAACTTTGGGCACACACACACACACACACACACACACACACACACACACACACACACCTGGTGTGTTTTGTTAAGCCACTGAGCCAAGATTCCAACCACAATAGGCCATGTGGGATCCAGTTCCCCAAGCACAGGGATGAATTGCTGCGTTACAGAGCCAGCCTAAACCGAAACTTTTATTTAACTTTCCTGATTCATTTTTCAACCAAAGAAGCATCAGATTTAGTGGCAAAGATTAGCTAAGGAAGCCTTAAATCATCTTCAAATTTTATCACAATGGTTTCCGGGTGGGACTAAATTATCCTTCCTACTAATAAAGTAGGAAAGTTGATATGGAAAATAACTGGATTTTTATAGTGACCTTTAGCATTATTCTACAATCATCTCAAAGAATAGGTCCATGCAGTCGCTATAAAAAAGTGTAATACTATATAAAAGCCCAGAACAATCTCTAAAATGTTTTCCCATGATACATAAAAATACCGTTTTACTAACAACAAAATTGCCTCTAAGTAAAGAGACCACAACTATGCTCTTCATTAGCCAGTAAATTTTTAACATAATAACAGTAAGTTATCCATTAGAACTACAAACGCTGATCAAAATTTAAAATATACTCAATGTGAATATAAATGGCTAATGTGTTTACTGGCTATTTCTCCCACTAAATTCACTAAAATGAAAGTATGATTTAAAAAGAAGTTGTTGAGACAGTGTTGTTGACACAAAACTCTGCAAGACTGACTCACATAGGAAGGTTCTGGATTTGCATCCAGAGACACCCGCCCAAACAGGCCAGGTGCACACATACCCATGGTCCAGGACTGGCTGATACTGGGGATGGATTATAATCTGAAGGCCTGTTGTGACTGCTTGTCTCTCTGTTTCTGTCTCTCTCGCTCATGGAAGAAATAAACTTAAAAACTAAAAGTAAAAATACCACATTGTTTGGATCTTCGTTTTTACCTTTTTTGTTATGTTCAGGAATAATGACATTATCCACTGTGACATCGGCTGTTTTCTAAGAGAAGAAATACATACTAAGGTAATTCCATTTCATAAGTCTCAAAAGAACAAAGTTTAACAGAAATCCAAAGTCTCCCCTGGGTACAATAGTATGGTCACTAATTTAGATAAAAGCAATTCTTTTCCTTCAGTAGCATTTATTACCATAGGTATTTAAAGTTTCCATATCAACTGTAAAAGTGAAGTATCAATGCCACAGTCGGTTATAGTCCATTTTAAATGACTTCTTATGCTATAAAAACAATCACTGCTAATTTACTCTAACAAAAACTAACAGAAATATGCAAAACACCAACTAGAAAAAAATAAAATTACAAGCTAAGTTAAGACAAATGTATAATTCACAATATCCTTAGTAGTTCTAAGTCTCGTCTCTGACAGATCACTGAGAGGAGAAAGCTCTTAACTCTTTAAATATTTAGAAATCTCTAATTTCCTAAATCTTCAACTAAATAAAGAATAATGAGGGAACTAAGGCATCTGATGCCTGCAAAAAAGTGCCTGCAAATCCAGTACTTTTCTGCCAAATAGCTTTATTCCTATGCTCAATTATACATGCTAGACATGTCACTGAATTTAAGAGTCATTTTCCATGCACACACACTCTACCTTGGGTAACACATTTGGAAATTCATCTTTCTGATGACTCTGTTCTGAAGGATTCAAGGCTGCTCCTGAAAGAGAAATAGGAGATCTAGATGCAAAAAAAAAAAAGTCCTTAATAAACTTATTTTTTCTTTCTGAGACTGAAAATAAATAACTTGCTAGTAAAGTTTGCTTTTAAAATGCAGTTTCATTCTCATGGAATGGTTACAAGTTTACATATGTAAAAAGCTTTCTAATGATGTAATATTATGCAAACATATTTTTATTCACTGAAAACATAATTAGCAACTCTGTTATAAGACATTAAAATATTGAATTACAGAGTATAAAATTGAAAAAAAAAATCAACACCAGTTTTTCACACATATATTCTAAATTTTTACAATTATGAGATCTTATCTTTTGAGTTGGTTTATTTTTGTACTATCTCATTCTAGAAGGTATTAGTAGTCCGTGTGTGTGTGTGTGTGCGTGCACACGTGTGTGTGACCAACCACAAATACTCACCACTCCATCTCCACATGGAGACTATACCATCTGTGTTATATTAATAGTTCTGTCTGACCTGAGGTAATCTATGTAGCTTCCTACAAAAAATTAAAACCCTGCCACATTTGGTTGTCATTTCTAACAAAAACCACATGTTCATCTCAGTAGATGGTGAAAAAGCATTTGACCAAATCTTATTCATTATTACGATAAAAATCCAAGGAACAAGGGAACTTTCTATTTTGATAAATATCTATGAAAAACTCATAGTTAACATCATATTTAATGGTGAAAGAAAATGCATTCCCATTAAGATTAAGAATGAGTTAAGGATGCCTGGTTTTACCACGCCTATTCAACATCATGCCAAAGCTTCCAGTCAGGGCAACCAGACAAGAAAAGGAAATAAACACTCTGAATTGGGTAGTGTTGTATAAAACAAAATTGAAATCTGGGGCTGTGAGAGCACCAAAAACCACGACCTCTTTGTTGGTTGTTAACAGAGAGGTAATACTCAATCATCACATGAAATGGAAGATTCAGAGTAAGCCATTATTGAAGTTCATGTCAAAACTGGAAAATAACTACAAATCATTAAAATATAAATGCAAAATATGATATGTAATGACACGTATGCTAGCCATGTAATAGTAAGGTTTCACTTTCTTGAATAATCCATTTATGTTTTGAGAGCTGAGATGATGCTTTTACGGAAGTGAAGAAACCACCTAGTGGCAGCAGCTTGAATTGCTAGAATAGTGCCTGAGAGGAAATAAAAGCCCTTTTAGAATAAGACTCAAGAAAATCCAAACCTACAAAGTGATGTCTGGAGGTTGGAATACAGAAGGTCAAAAATTCCTCTAAAATTAAAACCATCCCACAAAACGCAAAACAAGTATAAGGAAAAGTAGACAAAAAGTGGTAATGTGGATAACTGATAAATCTGTCCATGTAAATTATTTTGCATTTTTTTCAGTTAGAAGCTAAACTCCTAGTTCAGTGAGTTAGGATACGCCTGTTCAG